ATTAGCTAGATCACATCCCAGGCAACATCAGGGCATCTCCTCCCCTGGAGCAGCACCACCCTGGACCTATAATCCTGCAATGAAAATGTTAGTGTGCTTTGCATATTAAGTTTGCTTAACACCTGGCTCTCCCAGGAGCCTGCATACACACCATCATGGCCTGGAAAACAAAATCTGGAAGTAAAATCAAACTCCATACCTGTAAACAATTGTATCATAAGGACAAGAAGCATTCAACATCAGCAAGACAAGTGTCATGTGCAGGTTTTCTCAAATCAGTAAACTACAATTATTTTCATAAGTCGCCTCAGACATGGATCATCCCATGTACTCAGGCAACATTAATGTAATCGGTGACTGCTCTTAAGCAAAGTCACTCCACTTATATATTACTATGGGCTCAAAAGTGGCCAGCTAATGAGCCCATATCAAACTATCCCAGAAACACTGTATCTCTTATTTGTTTTACTCATGTCACTTGTCCGTTTCAGCTGAATCTTCCACAGCATTCTCAAAGAAATTAACATTAGCAATACACATTGACTGTAGTCAGACAGAGGTCAGACACAGGTCAACAGGTTCCAGAGGTGCCATAAAAACACCATAAAGTCAACCCTAGCTGTGGAAAGAAGTAACACCAGTTCTCAACACAGGAAATTTCACACAGGTTATTCACATTATCAAAGTAACCTTCACATTTTCCCATCAACACAATGCAACAGCATCACCACTCATAACCTGTAAACACAGTTTTCCTCACACATAAACCCAGAAATCCTGTAGTAGGAAAAAACATCAACCAGTTGTCCTGGTATAAATCGCATCATCAATTCACATGAAGAACTGGCATGCTGTAAGAAAAGAAAATGCAAATATTAGCGCTTGCGCAGGCGTATGCATACTTTGTCACAGATATCTCTGTGAGCAACTCAAGCCTATGAATAACACACCTGATAAATGCACAGACACAGAAAATGGCATTTAAAAGGTTAAATCATCATGCAACCTCGAGTGTTGCTGTCATCTTTCTGCTCCTGTAAAAGGAAACACATGGGTTCATCTGCACCTTTGTCAGGTGGGGGTTAGCTTCACACAATCATGTTCAGTCAGTCAGTCAGATATTTTAAAATTCTTACTCATTCACTCAGTGGTTCCTTCTTTTGCTAATTGTGGAAATTATCATCGCATTCGTTTCCACGCTCAGCAAAACGACGTTATTTCAAAAAGAAAAATAATTTAGACTGGATTTCCTCGTTGAATCCTTTTTGGGGGACTCTCATTTCCTAATTGTCCCAAATAAGTGGCTTTCTCCTGAACCCATTTTAAATGTGGAGAAACTCACTCGCAACAATTTTCTTGACGACGTGTAACGCTTTTAATTCCCGACTTACAGATCTGCTCAAAGAAAAGAAATTCACAAGCAAAAATCAGTGCTTGTTCAAAAATGAAAAATAAAAAATAACAGAGATTATCAAACCAAACTCTCAGTGCACTGTGAAAGTATCAAAATAAAAAGGCCTTGTTAAGTCATGACACAAGCTCCTCATCTCAGGAGGGTAAATCATACCATTAGCATGGTTTATCATACCATCATACTAATTGGCAGGCTCAACTTCACAACAAAAGAAAAATCATCAGCTAGATTCACTCCAAATCAACCATCAGCTGCACAACACACAACATAACCCTAATGTCTTATTAGCTATGAGTTTAATCACCCGGTCTGTGCTCTTCACTCATTTAAGCCACAGATCTATTTTATTCAATTTTTCCTTTTTCCCTTCATCATAAAACATGTGACATGCTGTCATGCACTTCACAAAACAGTCTGTTCTGACGTATTCAGAGTTGTGTATCTAAATACAGGATTCACTCGCACATCAAAGCAGGAAACTCAGTGTTTTAGAGTCTCTACTCAACACACAACAAACTCCAACACATCTCATTCACTCATACTAGAATTCAGTCACCTTTCATTAATCTAAAACCGATCAACTAATTTGCATATCAGCTATTAACCCACTAAGTTGACAGGACGACAGAAAAGCATGTTCAAAATAGTATCACAAAAGACAATTTCCCTCATACAGTAAATTACATGTGCTGCCTCAATCAAGCAGGAAGCTTCTCCCAATTTACCATTTTAACAACTAAATTTATTGTCTGATCACTGGTTGGTCAAACCAGGATCTTTTTTTTTTTTTTTTTTTTTTTTTTTTTTTTTTTTTTTTTTTTTTTTTCTTTAGGATAAATTCAGTATTTGATAACAAGTGTCTGCTAAATTGACACTATTGTAACACTGATGAAAGATAACAAGCTAATTTTCATTGCATGGGTTTGTGTTATTAGGCAGGTCTAATGCATGTCTGTGGAGCTGCATCTCCAGCAGAGCATGTTCTTAAAGCTGCCTTTCCTACACATTTCTCTGCTATTATTTAATCATTTCTTAACTAATGTGCTATGAGTCTTCATGAGTCATTTTGTGTTTGGAATTGTTAGTAGGGTTAATGCATGTTCTGCTTGTGTGTGTGTGATTTTGTATATGTTTCTATTTTCGCAATGTTTCAGACTCCGTCTCAATTTTCCAACTTAAGCAGTCAGTTTTCTTTTCCCCAGGTTTGCTAACCCAAATTTTGATTTCCCACATTAAATAATTCCTATGTGTTCTCACCTAGTCTTCTCACTCTGTTGTCCTCTCACTCTTTTGTCCTCTCCCTCTTCAACAGTCCCGGCAGTTCTCCTTCAGCTTTGTCCTGTCTAGTAGCTGAAGTGCTGCTGCTGCCTTCTTGGGCGACTTCTTAGCAGCTGCTGCCGATTTCTTGGCTTTGGCCGCGGCGGGCTTCTTGGCTTTGCTCTCAGTAGCCTTGTTCATCTTGAAGGATCCGGAGGTCCTGGTGCCCTTGGTCTGCACCAGAGTGCCCTTCGCCACCAGGCTCTTGATGGCGGTCTTGACACGGGCCTTGTTCTTGTCCACATCGTAGCCTCCGGCAGCCAGAGCCTTCTTGAGGGCGGCCACGGACAGGCCGTTGCGCTCCTTGGAAGCGGCCACGGCTTTCACAATCAGCTCGCCCACGCTGAGGCTGACCTTCTTGGGCTTGGAAGTCATCGTCTTCTTCTTCTTGGCCTGAACCTCGGTGCAGGGCGTGTTTATGATGGAGCCTTTCCCACCACAGCGCTGGCACGTTGAACGCATCATGAAGGGTCCATTTCTTTCATGTCGCTAGCCAGCATGCTAGCTGCATGTGGCTTGCCCGAGTCACTCAGTCCTTTTTGAGCATTTCAACATGCTGCCACCGCCATCTTGCTCGCCCCTCCGTGGAATTCATCCAATCAGACAGGAAGATGGGTTTGCTTTCTTCTGCTGCTGCTGTTTATCCACATTGCTGCTGCTTTGCTGGGACTTTTTGTGCTCAGGACTTGCTGCTGTCTCTTTATCATGTTATTGCTTTGGAGCTGCATTCCTTATCTTCAGGGAGGAGTGAGCTCGCTTGTGAGGTTGAGAAACACATGGCACTGTAAATAAGTCAGCCAGAAACTTGGCCTGCATGTTTCCAATGATGTTAAACTATAACTTTCTTCCGACCGCTGCATGTGGAAAATTGATACAGGTCTGCTTTTCACCTGAAAGTGACAAACTAAGACATTTCATTATTATCATCGCTGCTTAATCAACACACATCTCTCTCTCTCTCTCTCTGTCTGTGTTTGTGTGAACAATCCTTTCTTAAAAGCAGAAAATGACATTGTAGTTGTTTTTCGGCTGATCAACACAAAACCTTTTTCCTATGATTATTTCTCTTCGTCTACAATGTAATTTGTTTCTTTTTCACTCTTTTTTTTTTCTTCACAATAGCTGGTGGTCTGCAAAATCACCGCTCTCACTCACAATCAGAGGCAATCACTTTTGCACAGTGCACAAAAACACTGTGATGTCAGACACATTCACACTCACTTTTTCATCTGCATAAATAAATCATATGGCTGGAGATATGTGCCATGGTGATCCATAAGCATGATCACCAGTTTATTTAATTATTTTTAATCCAACAAAACAAATAAACAAAAACATGATGCTGATGCTACACACACACGAGTCAAGGTGCAGAAAAACTGCTCATGGAAACGCTGCACACTCTCTGTTTCCCTCTCTTTGAGTAGTTCTCAGACAGCTCTTGATCTGATAATGTGTAGCTTGCTCATCAGCTCAAAAAACAAAAACAAAACTGCAACGCGACATCACACAGTAGTTGCATGCTCTGCCCACAGTGGCAAAGTCTTACACTTACATATTCAACACAGCTTCTCCATCATGTATTTTTAGATGTTTCATACAGGGTTGAGCATATTAGTTGTTTTCACAGATGTGCTCTATATCTCAACAATGGCTCATAATAAGACGACCGTCTTCCACACAGGTCAAGTGCCTCTATGCACTTCATGAGTTTAAATATTTATCTATATCACTTCACCTCACATGTCATTGTACTGAATTTAAGCAACCACAAGCTTAATGTAGATTACTTTTAACAACTATCCACCTCAATTAAATCTATGGTCTGGCACACAGGCTGCTGTCGATCAGGGCAAGCTAAAGAATAAACATTGTGTCAGCAAGGGGTGGGGGGAAAGCCATTCACCAGAGCATATCTTAAGTGCTGCTGATGTGGGCTGGCCTTCTCCACAGCTCTCCAAGGCTGGTGTGTTTTCTGAAAACTTCTAACATTTGAATCTCTTCCATTTATAGGCCTGCGATTAACCGCACGGCTCAGGTCCGCGTGACCGCGCTCGCGTGAACCCGCGCAGCTGTGGAGCCGTCGCTCTCTCTCTTTTTTACATAAATACTTTGTGCTGCCAGGAGCAAAGTCCAGCACAAACGTCTGTCTCCCTCCGAATCACTCTTGGTTGCTTAGAAACCCATGATAACAACAACAGTCGGTGTCACAGACCACATGTTCTGCTCCGCACACACAACAACAACAACAACAACAACGACGACGACAATGACAACAACACAAAATAGGCCTACTGTCCAGCACAATCTGGACCCCGCGGAACTTCTCAACACCCCACTGAGCGGTGGAGAACTCACTACAGTACCCCACACAGCGGTCTGTATTTCGCCCCACTAAGACGGCGAACCAAAAAAAGTTCGAACTGCGCAACTCTGCGACTTAATGCTTCTGTACAAAAAACCCCACTGAGCGGCCTTGTACATCGCCCCACTTAGACGGCGAATTTTAGCCCCACTAAGCGGCCACGGACAACGCCCCACTGAGCGGCGAAGACGTACAGTTATAGAGTTGGACTCTAAACTTACTCGGTGTTGCTTAGCGTGTAATATCAGCCTCGAATCCCGCCAATCGCCATTCATCGAGGAGAAAAGACATACAGCGAATCCACAGGAACTTCCTGGCTGACGTCAGTCTTTCAGCGTGTCCCTCCTCCCCTCGGTGAATGCGATTCCAGGGCTCCGGCATCGAAGGACCAATTAATGATAGGTTTGTAGCATAAACCTATTCGCTGGAACGTTAAGACAATATAATTACACTGCAAGCAAGACGCAAGTAGGCAAACTTCTTCATGTTACTCGTGCACGGGAGAGAACCGGACAACCGCTTGACTCCAGTTGGTCTCGTCCGTTCTCCCATACACTGTCCTTTTATTGAGGTTACATGAATATGCATAGGTTCATTAACATACGACGTCTACATACAAACAAAGAGTACCTTGCCTGTGTGTGTGTGTGTGTGTGTGTGTGTGTGTGTGTGTGTGTGTGTGTATGTGTGTGTGTGTGGGGACTGCTGATCAAAGGGTCAAACATCCTTGGTCAGGAAGAGGGTAGCCTCCCCCTCACCCTAGATGGTTCATCCTAGATAACACGGTGAGGAAGTCCTGCAGTTCATCTAAACAAAGAGCACCTAGACTAGAACAGACGTAGCTACGTTAATCCTACCATAAAACAATAAGACACGGTATGACCTCTCATGCTCCCAAAGTGCTGTCTAATACACACAAAGTTTGCAGACTATCAAGGATCAAAACCTCTACCAATCTACAACTAATTACAAAACTCTAAGCATATATAAGTAAATATTTCTAAGCATAAATAACAATCAACAATACAAATCTAACACCCATATTGTGCAACTAGTCTGTCAAATGGAATAAATTCTGTTCCCTCTAATATATGTTCTAAGTATTTAATTCCTTTACAACTCCATTCTGGGAAATTAATCATATTACTGTTTTGTAATATGTCAGGGTTATTCCAGATAGGTGTACGTTTGCATGGGATTAATGAAGACTCCGTTATTTTTAGAAACTCCCACCATGCTGTCAGAGAGAAGCTGATGTTGATACTTTTAAAGCATTCATGTCTTATGTTTGAGCTAATAAATGGTAGGTCTGAAATCTCTAGATCCTTGCATAGTGCCTGTTCAACATCTAGCCAGGGCTCATCTAAGAAGGTATGTTTTGACCATTCTGAGATGAACTCAAGCCTGTTGGCTAAGAAGTATTGGTGAAAATTAGGCAGATCTAATCCTCCTCTATCCTTGGTTCTTTGTAGCGTTTTTAAGCTGATACGCGGGGGTTTATCTTTCCAAAGGAATTTGGAAATATATGAATCCAGAGATCTGAACCAATCTTGTGATGGTTTGTTAGGGATCATCAAAAATAAGTAATTTATTTTTGGCAAGATCATCATTTTTATAGTGGCGACCCTTCCCATGAGTGATATGGGTACAGATTTCCATCTAGTCAGATCGCCTTCTACTTTCTTTAGAAGTGGGATGTGGTTTAATTTAGTTAAGTCTGAAAGCTTAGGAGAAACATTAATACCTAAATATTTAATATTTCCAGATTGCAGTGGGGCAGAGGAAGAATTATGGAAGGAGCAGTTAATGGGGAGAACTGTAGATTTTGGCCAGTTAATTGAATAATCTGAAACTCTTGAAAACCAGTTTATTAGAGTAATTACCTCAGAGAGGTTGGTTTGTGTGTTTTGCAGAAAAAGCAACACATCATCCGCATAGAGACTGATTTTATGTTCTATGTTCTTACATTTTATGCCCTTAATTGTTGTAGCCTGTCTAAATGCTGCTGCTAGAGGTTCGATAAAAATTGCAAAAAGTGAAGGGGAGAGTGGGCATCCCTGTCTGGTGCCCCTCAGGAGACAGAAGCTGGAGGATGTCTGGTCATTTGTTCTGATACGAGCTGTTGGGGAATTGTATAATATTCTTATCCAGTTTATGAAAGAGTTTCCAAAACCAAATTTGTGTAAAGTTGCGAATAAAAATTTCATCATTTAATTCAGCATAAAGGAATTTACGACTGGATCTAGTTTTCTATGTCTGGGTGAGCATTTAATCGGTGGACAACTTGGATGAGACAAAAAGTGGCTGTTATGACTAGTATGGTAAAGAGGCAAAAATAAGCTTCCACTGTCCAGACAAAGAAAATGACCAATGGGGAAACTACCAGTGGATATTTAATCAAAAAAAAGAAAAAACTGTTATCAGTGACTGGCAAATGAAGCCTTTGCATATCAGACAGCATGTACCTTGTTACTCTTGTGACGGCCAGTGGGCTGGCCTTGTGTTTTGCTTTTTCTGTTACCTGTTTCTTGCAGGTAGGTGGAGCTGACCCAATTATTGATGCAGCACACCTGAGAGGCCAGTCCCAGTGTGTATAAAGACACCTTGACTGAACCAGCGGGGGCTGGCGTTGGCTCTGGCTCGCTCTGTCTGGCACCCATCATGTTCATTTGGAAGTTTCAGTTATGGCTGTAATGTCCTTTAAATTGTCTTTCAGTTGCTTTACCTTATTTTCATTAAATATGTCTTACAGCCTTTAAAAGCCTGTGTGTGGTCTCCCTCTTGATTGTCATTTCCTATGAGCCGGGTTGTGACACTCTGTATACTTACACGCTGTTAGCTCATGTTTTTTTAAATTGACACAGGAAATGATTAGCAGGGTTTAATGATGACAGAAAAAACATGTTCTAAAGTACAATTAAAAGGACTTAATTAGCTTCATATACATAAAAAGAATTTGTCTACATAATTTTTTCCTGCTGCAGGTAAAGCATTGATTTCTTACAGATGTGTTACAATAGTGAGTGAAAACTCATTATACATAATGCATTGTAGGCAATCAAAATCATCAGCTAATCCTGTAAACAGGAAGTGATGTCACATCTCAATAACTAATAACATTTAGTGCATAATCACCCCCGTTGGAATACAGCTGTTAAAAGCAACCAATCGACACAACAACATCAAATGCCACACGGGTGTGGCATAGTGCATGGTGTTTGGGATGAATAAAGCTCTGTAATGTTGGAGTATCTTGGAGTAATATTTGCTAAAATCTGTAAACTGTAGTTGCCTGCAGTGTAGGAAAAAATAACTTTGCTTTCATCAAAGTGAAAAGCTTTCGTAGTAGTGAGGTATCACTTATAGAAGAATCACTTTTAGTTTTTTTGGTGCTTGTCTTAAACATTCATGGGTAAAAATATAATGAAGTACCGTATTTTCACGACCATAAGGCGCACTTAAAAGTCTTAGATTTTCTTCAAAAAGTACGGCGCGCCCTATAGCGCAGTGCGCCCTGTGTGTTGTAAGGAGGACGTAGTAGAGAACACCATGAGAACGCTAAAGGGTGAAGTGTGGGCGGTGATCGTATATACCGGACAATCGCACATACCTGTCTAAAAGGACAGGTATGTGCATTATGCGGAACATCATTGTTTTAACAACCCTGAAAATGGCAAAGAGACACGCTTACGAAGCACAGTTTAAATTGAAGGCCATCAGCTATGCGGAGGAACATGGAAATCGAGCAGTGGCGAGAGAATTTAAGATTAACGAATCGATGGTTCGCAAATGGAGGAAGCTAGAAAACAAGCTCCGGCAGGTCAAGAAAACGCAGCTGAGTTTCCGTGGACATAAGGCGAGGTGGCCCGAGTTGGAGGAAAGACTCGAGCGGTGGATCATCGAGCAAAGAACGAGCGGGAGAAGCGTTTCGACGGTCACCATTCGGCTAAAAGCAGTTTCACTAGCTGAAGAGATGAACATTGAACATTTCCAAGGAGGTCCGTCTTGGTGCTTTCGTTTTATGAAACGGTGCCATTTTTCCATCCGGACCAGGACTACGGTAGCGCAGCAACTTCCAGCGGATTATAAGGAATAGCTGGCCATCTTCCGCTCCTACTGCAGCAAACACATCGGCGACAAAAACATCCAGCCCAGCCACATCACAAACATGGACGAGGTCCCGCTCACTTTTGACATCCCGGTGAGTCACACTGTGGAGAAGAAGGGGATGAGGACTTCGATGGGTTTGATTGATGATAAAAATGTGAGTACCAAACTCAGTTTTGCTCCTGCTTTATTTTTAAATACGCACACTTGTATGCTTGTGTGTTGTTGATGATGACGATTACCGGTAATAGAAATGTGAGTAAGGTACCGAACTCAGGTTTGCTCCCGCTTTATTTTTAAATACGCATACGGTACTTGTATGGGCCCTATGATCCAGTGCACCTTATGTGTGTGTTAAATACAGTAATGGCACACATAACTGAGACTGCGCCTTTTAGTACAGTGCGTCTTATGGTCGTGCAAATACGGTATTTAGTTTGACAGCAAGCAAATAAGTTTCCTGCCTGGTACAAAATGAAGAAGCTCCTGTTTTATTCATTTTCATATAAGTTTGAGTTCTTAAAATTCTTGACCATGCATCAGTGCAAATTTTTAGAGTTGATTCTTCTGAAATTGTCATTTGTGCAAAGTCACAAGCTGATAAAATGTTTATTCCATATTAGGTTTTAGCCTTTGCATGTGGTAAGTAGTTTCTTCATAGTAGTTTTTCTGTTGCACATAAGAAACCACAAGTTCCTGTTTTTATAAATTTAACAAGATTTTTACATGTTTGTTAAAAGTTCATGCCCTAAATGGAGTGACTGGAGATGTCAAAGGGTCGCGCCATGTATGGTATGACAGGAGATGGCACACATACACACACATGCTGATGTTGCGCACAAATGCTTGCCTTGGATGTATGACTGCTTTCACCGAATAAAAGGAGCTGTAAGGGAAGTCAGTTTCGGAGTTGACTGAGTTCGGGTGAAGGGCTTATAACTCTAAGACCCTGATCGGGCTTCCCTTGCCGGCAAGTAAAAGACAAAAGCGCTGTGGTCTTGCTTTGTTCACAAGGATCGGTCTCTGAGACAGCGAGGTCTGTGAGTTTAGACCTAACATAAATCATATTCTGGAGCTGTATAACTAAGAGTCAGTTCAGCAGAGGACTAACGCACTCTTCACTCGGCCTGATGGTAAGTTAGTTTCTGTTTGTATTAGGATGGTGACATATTTGGTGTAGCACAGAATAACCTGTGAACTCAAGCCATGCTGCGATACTGCATTATGTTATTACCTGTAAAGACACTGCAGCCAGTAATAGTGAGATAATTCTGTTTTCTCCTAAAGGGAAGATGATGTATTAAAATGACTTTTTTGTTATTCTGTTTTTTCAGGACGTCCTTTGGATGATTGTCCTCACTGTTGGTCTGCTTGGCTCACATTGTGAGGGCACTATATCCTGTAAAAATGAAACTAATGGTGATGTAGACTGGTAAGACAACATCTGAGCTATTCATTCAGGTGTACTGAATTACACATTGGTAACTTTGGTCTTCAAGTGCTTCAAAGCTACGCTATGGTACCTTTTGCACCTGCGTTTCAACATAGTCATAGATGATGTTCAGACACTGCTACACTATTTTACACTGTTATTATCAGTTATTTTATATATTTCCATTTCATAAATAACTTCATTTGGGCAGTAAGACATAACGCATACCTAAAACTATGAAGACAACACACAATACTGTGACACTTGCCTCCTTTCTCCAGCCCTGCACATCTATTTTCATCACTCGTATTATTCTCACTTTATTGATCAAAAGAGGAAACAGGGAAAGAAAACACTTTGCAAAATTTCACAAGCTTCATCTCATTTTAGCATCATGGGGAAGCCAGTGGAAAATACTATTCATAAAAGGCCCTGTTATTCATAGTTAAAGGTTTTCAGTCATATCTCTGCTTACTCTACAGGTGCTTGTGAGACTCGGGTATAACAGAGTTTGTTATTTTCTTCTTCCATGCTCAGTTAAGCTTCTCATCATTTATTGTTATCTTTGAATTTACTGACTTGTCTCTGACATCACCAGGTTTATTTTGTACAAGAAGCCTGGTGGGTTTGATTATGTTTACATTGATTCAACCGACCAGAACCTTAAAAAGAATAACAAGCCTGTCAACAACCAAGCTGGTGTCCTGGCAAATACCCTGAAGCCCTACTTTGAAAAAGTGAGAATAACTCCATGAGTTTCTGTTATTAGTGTGTATGCACTTTGAGGAAAGACATAATTTATGTTATGTTTTTGTGGATTCTTTCCGGATGAGCAGTCGCCAGATTCTGCATTCATTGCATACAATGATCAAATGCCAAGTTGTAACGCACTACAACAATATGGCCACAGCAAAGGTGGGTAGAAATAATTTTTTAATAATAATAATAAAAATAACATAAGAAATACTAATAAAAACACACCTGATTTAAATGTGCTCTCCTTCACGCTCACCTCTGAGCATCAGAACCACAGCTTCTGTTATTCTCAGATCACTCAGCAAATGTTCTCTTCTTAATAATGACATGAGCTCTTTCATGTTCTTGTTCTGCAGGAGTTGTGATGATGGATAAGGATAATGTAGTCTGGCTTTTACACAGCACACCAAAATTCCCCGAAGGAGATGAAAGCAATAATTTCTATCCTGAAAGTGGGAAAAGGTACGCACAGATATTTATGTGTGTAACACTGCCCTCTGATAAGTCTGCACAAATAGGTAAGGCAGCATGTCCAAGGTAATTCTTCATGTCTAGAGTGTATGTGAAGTTTTAACACAGTAACATGTACGTCCCTCATTTTACTTTTTTTCAGCTCAGCATCTTAAAGACATCAATGCTCATATATTTAAAAAACACAATCCTGAAAAACTCCTGAAAAAAGATTCTTCCAACATAAAACGAACGCTGCCCTACCATGAGGACTTGTTGTCATCCGGTGGTTTGAAGTTTACACGCTTTGTTAAACAAATCTCCAAGAAAAGGGATCCTGAAGGTGAGATTTCTGCTTCATTCATTTAAGAAAAAAATCTTAAACACTGTGTCTTTTGTGAAATCATTGTGACTTTCTGTAGTTTCCCCACCAAAGTTCTGAGACTCTTATTTACAAGGTGTGAAACATCAAGCCCAACACAGCCCTTTATTTTAACTTCTCTAATGTTTTGGCCTGTGAAACATGAGCTGGGCGACGAGTAGATCTAACTTTACAGAGTAGTTCTGTTCAAAACTCACTTTATTTAGATTTTAACTCTAAAAATAACTCACATATAAAATTAAATAATGATCCTGGTATGAAAATGTTGTGGAAGCTGGAAAATAAATCCTGTGAACACACATGTTATGCTGTAAGTTTGTATTGCCATGGAGACCTTTCATTAAGGTGTTAGTGTGACCCAGCCTCAGTGCAGAGTTAGTGCAGGGGAGTGTAGCAGCAGGGATCATATGAGGTCTGATGTTTGTAAAAGAAATCATTAAATAAGAAGAGCTGGAACTTCCCAGAAACTCTCAGAAAGAGAAAGTAGAGTCAGGGTTGTTGTGAGCAACACTTTTCTCTTTTTTTTTTTTAAATTCTGGCTTATTGTAACACTGTCTGGTGGTTTCCTGATGTTTGTCTTTACTTTGGCAGGAGATCTTTATGTCACCATTGCTGACACACTACAGACCAATTTATCCATCCAGACCTGGCGCAGCGACCCTGAAGAGAGTGGAAAACGTCCGCTTTTTAAAACTGGGGAAAAAAACGAACTAGTCACCATCATGTCAGTAAAAACTGACGCAGGTGAATGGAGTCATAAATGTGATCATTCCAAATGGTGTGTTTCTGACATTCAAAACTGGATGTGTGTTGGTGACTCAAACAGAGAACCATCCCAGTTCGAAAGGCCTGGTGGTGCACTGTGCATTAATAGCAAACCTGTGGCAGATGCATTTAGGCAAATTAAAAGGATTACTGGCACTGATAGCGTCACTAACAGTAACACTGACTGTAACAATAACAATGTTGCTAGTCCCCGTAAAAGACCAAGATCAGGTTAACTGCAGCAGACAGCCGTCTCGGTCTTGTTTTCTATCTATGTTCACCAGTTTTGAATTTATTGTAAATTTATTTTATCAAAGTGAAGCTGACTTGAATCTGGTGCTGACATCGTCACTCTTGTCAGTGTTATCTAATGTTTCTGTGAATAATATGAAATTAAAAACATTTGATGGATATTTCACAGTGTGGTTCTTTCACCCATGGAAACCATAGAAATAAATGACTTTGCATGAATCTGTCTTGTTTTTACTCTGAGGTCCTGTTTCTGTCTGATGACGTTTAAAAGTATTCAAACTAGCCCCTACACTCAGACATCTTTATTTTTATGGTTTAGTAGATTTTGATTTGCCAAACCAGGTTTTATATTGAGATTTTTCTTCTGTAACAGGTCTTCTTTATTACAAAACAACAACTTTGGCACTTTTATTATTTATTTGTAAAGAAATTATTTTCACAGTTCACTTATTCATTTTTTTACTACATTATTTGTTGGACTTTATGCAAATTAGTGCATATGTGATATTATAACTCGTTTTATAATAAATAAGAAGCACACAAATTAAAATATTAATGTAAATGATCGCCTGGGGAAATTAAGAGCTCATATCAGTTAAGTTTTCTTGTTTTGTCCCTTTTTTCCACTTCCACTAGGTGTTCTGTAACTTTACAGTTGATATTTGAAAGTAGAGTAACTACTAAGTAGATCTGTCTGTGTTGATGCTGAAAGATTTATAATCTGATTCTGACTGTAACTGTTAAGATGATTATTGTGCACGTGCCATTCAGGCCTTCTAACAGCAAAAGAAAGCATTGATACTGGTGGTACATACTGTCAGTATTTAGACGGTGACATGGGTTGTGTAATTTGGCCTCCTTACATCATCACAATTTTTTTTGACTCAAACACTGTGACCGGTGCAACCAATCAGAATGACTTCAGAGCGTGATCACTTTTTTATTCGTTTTATCCATTTGTAATTCATTCTTATGCTAAAAAACGCTCTCAGTATTTGGACAGTGACACATTTTTCTTTAACTTCAGAGCTCCAGCATCTCTAGTGTGAAGTAAATGATGGTCACTGTGTTAATGACACAAAAACACAAAGTTACAGTTTGGTCCAATAGTATTTAAAAAATTGCACAATTCTAAATTTTGTACAGCAACACAAAAATGTCTTTTAAGTCCAATGCTCAATAATGATGGATGTGTAGCTTTTCAGCTCTAATCCAAAGGGTATAATCAGAGTACTGTACATAGTTTTTAGGAGTTACTAATATTCTTATAGAGTATCAGATTTTCAGAGGCTTCAAAGTCGTTGGACAATTTGAAGTCTAGAAGCTGTGGACATAACAAAGTGATGCTTTCCTCACTTGAGATGCTCAGACAGGTCTCTTTACCTGCAGTTTTGTCTGAATGAGCATGCTCTATTGGGTTTGAAGAATACCTCATTATTCTTCACTGACCAGTTTTACAGCATTTGATAATCAGTGACAGCATTTCCACTGCAGCCCTGCAGGCTGGATCTAACTGTTTCACAGCGCAGTAACCATGCTTTATTTCAGGCTAATGGTGCTGAACTTACAGAATAAAAATGTTTTACTGGATAAATACTACAATGATTAGAATAACCTTTGTTTGCACTACACAGTTTGAATTAAAAACACACACACACACACTAAAGATAATATGCATGTTCAGACATACAGACACATGATCAGCTATGTGGTATCAGGTTCACTCCATCCATACAAATAGACGCAAACTGAACTTTACCTCCGCTTAACTTACTTAACCGTAAACCTTCATCTGTCCATGTTCAGAGTGAGTGACAGCATTTTACAGTGTCAGAAAATAAGGGAATATTAGAAATGCACAGTGATAGGGACGAGCTGTCAGAGTGCTCACATAATGTTATCTTCATAAACATAATCGCAGTAACCGAAACAAATACTCAGAAAGTCTGCAGTAATCTTTAAATTCATGTAATCAATAATACTTTCATAAAATGAGACATCCAAAAATGTGCACACAATATGACACATTTAACGCGTGTGAAATGTTGAGCAGTGTGTAGAAGCTTTGGTCTTTGTCAGTGCCCTCAGACAGAACACCTCACACCCACGGTGCACAAATCCACAACGTGCATGGTTAGGTTAGAAAACAGCAACAGTGCTGCAGTTCCTGTATGAACTGAACAACTTTGAAAATCTAAGAAACAGTTAAGCTTCTCTCCTCGAAAGCTAAGAGAGACAGACTGAACATGCAGACTGGACGGACTTTGTCACACTGGAGCATGAAACGAGGAACAATCATCAATCAGGAACGATCATATAGCCCTGTCGTCTTATTTGCTGTGATTTAGTGTGCGATTGTGTCCACGGGCAGAATTTTTTCATCTGGAAGTGACCTCATTCTCAGATGTTTCACTGACTTGATCACAAAATCTCTCAAACTTTTCGCCCTTTCAAAACTAAAACAGCTGAGAGAGGTAAAGGTAAGACAAATACTAATGAAACAAATGCAGTTATGCACTTTTATTTTCATCTGCTTTGAAACATGGGTTTAAGAAAAGGTTTCTTCTGCTGCTCCATTTGAAGCTGTTTGCTTGTGCTGCCCTCTGCTGGTCAATCAGGTGATCTTCCAGAATCTCTTAACTTTTGTTAACACAAGTGTTTAAATGAGCTTCATCTTTGTCTTTGTTTCATTATTGCTAACACTGTGAGGTGGAATCTCTGAAAAGATGGCTGAAGTTGTGAAGAAGGAAAATTAAAGCATTTATTTAACCATTAAAACATTACGAAAGCCTTCAAAATCTAGTTTTAGTCTAAGAAAACTTTTTTTTTTAAATTAATCTTTCCAGGTTGCAAAGATAAATAAGGATATTAATATCAGGCTTACAAGGAATTAGATACTTTACCAAGAAATCATAAGGAGCAACCCACATAGCAGACAAGTTTGGCCCAGATCTGGTGTCACGCCGGCACTGCTAGCTGACTTCTGGCATGGTAAGTGGTATGTCATCCAGATATGGGCCAGGCCTGGCAATGATGCAGGTTTGACAGGTTTGTGAGTGTACACTTTATCCAAAACCTAGTGAGGGTTTACTCATGGTTGCCATCGGGTGGCTGTACCTCAGGAGGTAGAACAGGTCCTCTAGTCTGCATGTCAACAGTGTGAATGTGTATGAATATTGTTAGGAAGCACTCAGTTTAGAGAAAGTGTTTGATTGGGTGAATGTGGCATGTTGTATAGAGCACTTTGAGTAATCCGTGAGAGTAGAAAAGCGCTTTGTAAGAATCAGTCCATTCACTGTCTGAGCAAAGTTTCGTATTGTTACTTTTGCACTGTTGTGTTCCGGCACATGTTGTTATTACATGGCTTGATTAGAGTACACATTAGGCTGACATCTGGGGCTGGAGCTGAAACTGTTCTGGGACAGGCACAGGCACAGGGCAGCACTGTGTCTACAACTGGTACGTGGCTGCACACAACTTGCACATAGCCCACATACCGCAAAGAATGACGGCCCTTTGGTGGCCCAGATCAGGTTTGCCAGAGCTAATCCACACATGAGCCAGCACAGGACCACCAGTGTGTCTGCAACTGGCCTTGTGCTGGCCCATCTGTGGGCCACCTCTGGCAAACCAGATCTGGGCTAGTTAATGTGAGATGCCAAAAAGTGAGAGGGAGACCTTTCAGTGATGCTTTTCAGAAATCGGAGAAACTCCCCACAAACATTCAGGTTTTGCTCTTTCAGCTGGGCTGAGCAGATGTGAATGTCTGACTGAAGGAACTAATGAAACAAGAAGTAGAAACCTCCTCAACAGGATCTACACTGAGCTCTACATCACAGAGGAACAGAGTGAGGGAGTTTATACCCAACATGAGGTGAGGCAGCTGGAAACAGCTTCCAAGATCCTCCATGACACTCCAATCAGGTGCCAGGACATCTTTAAAGCATTGCCTGACCAACAGAGACCCATCAGAGTGGTTCTGACAAACGGCATTGCTGGTGTTGGAAAGACTTTCTCAGTACTTTCTTTCTCACTTCCGGTATGATGGCGCCTGTGTTTGGCTCTGCCGCTGCCGGTTGTAGTTTGTCGCGCTCTACTACTGTTGTGTTGTTTTTTTCTGCTCTACTGTTCTCACTCAGTTTTAATGATGTATTTGCGGCCCTGGTGTATGATCGCCTGGCCTTGCTATCCATCCGATCCTCTATGATGCCACACGATGTCTCGTCGCCCTCCTCCATTAGCTGGATCCTCGTCAGGCGATTTCAGTGGCCCCTCTAGACCACGGAGAAGGAGAGGGAGAAGAGGAGGTATTCAGGTAAAGCTCAGGATGTACTGGCGGCGTGGTTTGGCTGGTAAGCGACGTCGAGCGTGCGTTGTCTCCTGTGATTAGAAAAGCTCCATGGAGGGGGACTTGTTTTCCACGGCTTTGTTTGGATACGCTGGGCCCGGCTCTTTGAGACCTTGCCACCTTAGGAGGGTTTATCCAGACTCTTTTGCGGGCTGGCTTTTTCTTCCCTCGGTGAGTGGATTCTATGAGCGGGACGGCTCAAACCCTGTGTATTTACGTCCCTTAACTCGAGCCTCTGCAAATAACGAGGCTTCTAGCTCACTGAATATGGCGCTTTTTAACGCTTGATCTCTGTCTAATAAATCATTCTTGTTGAATGATTTTATATTATCTAAAAAACTCGATTTTTTATTCCTGACTGAGACCTGGCAGCGGGATGTAGACAACTCATCACTTGTTGAACTCTGCCCGGATGGCTATACTTTTATTACCCAGCCTCGGTTGTCTGATCGGGGTGGTGGGCTTGCCGTGGCTTTCCAGGACCGTTTCTCCTGCCGCTCCGTGAAAACTGGACTTTTTCGCTCGTTTGAGCTGCAGCTGCTTAAAATTGGTAACAAGGATCCTTTGTACTGTGCTGTGGTGTATCGTCCACCTGGATATAACAGGTTATTTTTATCGGAGCTCAGCGACTTCTTATCCGCTACTATGAAGCTGTCTAGAGTGCTTATAGTTGGGGACTTTAACATACACGTTGATGATGACTCCGACCTATTCACCAGAGACTTTATGAAAATTATTTTCATTTGACTCAGCATGTGTCCGGTCCTACACACAGCAAAGGCCACACACTGGACCTTGTTTTTACTTTGGGTTTAAAGGTCGTTGATATTATATATAGAACATGTAGATATAATCTTTCATAACCCAATTGGATGTGTTTAGATTTTAAACCTGGAGCACAACATTACAACGTCCCAGTCACTGAGCTTTTCTCGAAAAAGGAAAAAGTCAATTTTATCCTTCTGTTACTGTGGACCACCATCTTCTCAGTTTTCTACACACTTGAAACACAAGCACATACTACCATGCTGCTGATCCCAAATCGAGTCTTGCACTTTAGAATCAATACATTATAAATGATTTTAACGCTACTTCAGACAACATGTTTCTATCAATTATCACATATAAACGTACATATACAACATTTACATTGTAAAGCTACAATGAAATTTCCAGAAACCAAAGGAATATTTTTGGCTTACATTTTCAAATGTATTCTGTGACAACAAATAAAAACATAAAATTATTACCAAAAGAAAATGTAAAGATGGATGTTGTGTATATTCATAAATTGTATGAGTTAAAATTGTGAAATCAAGGAAGTAAACTGACTTAAGAGTCTCCAGTCTACAGTGTGGACTCTCCAAAGAAAACACGCATCTGTTTAATTCCTGAATTCTACAGACTGTTTTCACTCAAGTCCAGAAGCTTCAGATGGTAAGGATTGGACTTCAGAGCAGACACCAGAGCAGCACAACTGATCTCTGATAAACTGCAGTCAACCAGTCTGAATTGTGGGGGGAAAGAGATAAAAACAATGATGATCCTATCAGATGTGTTCAGGTTTTAAACATGTAGCTCACTTTACTATGTCCTAACCAATGAGCAAATACCTCTATTTCTGTGTTTTCTGTGCATTCATGTATATGTGTGTCTTTGTGTCTATTCAGAAAGATCAGTATTAATGATCAAACAGTGGATTAAATAGACAAAAAATATTTATTCCTTATTCATATATATTCCTTATTCCTTATTCAATACAAATATTTGTGCGCGCGTGTGTGTGTGTGTATATATATCCCCACAAACTGCATGCCTTTGGACGGTGGGAGGGAGCCGGAGTACCCATGCATACTTCACACAGAAAGACCCCGGCCCGATGGTGGAACTGAACTAAGGACCTTCTTGCTGTGCGGCAACAGTGCTAACCACCGTGCCTCCACACACACACACACACACACACACACACACACACACACACACACACACACACACACACACACACACACACACACACACACACACACACACACACACACACACACACACACACAGTGGTCCCTCACTATAACGCGGTTCACCTTTCGCTGTTTACCGGATTTTTTTGTGTGCAATTTTGCATGCTTTTTTTTCTTACAGCGCATTGTGTTCTGCATCCTGATTGGCTGTAGACCATTGTCAATCCATCTCGTGCCGTGTCTCCTGTACAGTACAGAATGTGTTCAGCTTGTCAAATTTACATAAATCTTTGATCGCTAGCAGTGTGACTCTGAAGTGCTGTACTGTAATTTTGTAGGTTTTCTGCCCAGCAAACACAACAATGTCGACAAAATGTTTTGCATCATCAAAGGCAACCGCCATACCAACCGCAAACCTCGTTTACTTGCATTTGAGTTCATCTTTTCATTTCTTCACATCTTCTAGCAGCTTCAGAGTGTAGGGATTCATGCATTTTCATTTACACGACTGTTTTCTGAGGGGAGACACAAATCCCTTTTTGTGAGGACAACATCATAAAAGCATAGTCACAAAAATCACAGCATAAAAATCTGATAAATCAAACATGCAGGTGGATCACCTGCTGAGGTGAGCATCTCACAGCTGTTTCTTTTTCATTTGCATATTCTGAACCACAACAACTCTGCAGATTATTTCTGTGTATGACACTAAGACACTTGCAGTTATGTATGCATCAATTTGAATTGGTGTAAAGTCTGTGCTCATCACTGTGTTGTTTTGAATTTGAGCGCCACACAGTGGAATGTAGAACTGAGCCAACACAATTTTTGACTTAAAAGTAATGAAAACTAGTCATAAGAAAAGCCTTTAGTAAATATTTTTCTTACGAATTCTTAAATTTTAAATGAATGTTTTTTTAATTAACAATTAAAAAAGATTTTTTCTTTTTTTTTAAACTTTTTTGTAAAAGTCAACAAAATTGCTCTAAAATATGTGAATGTTTGTGGTTATTGATCTACATTTTAATGGCAACATATAAGAAGTTTATATATTTTTTAATGATAATCCATGTGTATGTGTGGGGTTGTATTATGGCGATGTAGCCACTGGATGTGAGCGTTGAGCTACTAAATGTTAAAAACTGGCTGTGTGAAACTTTTATTTAAGAAAAAAAATAACCTCTTTTTATTTGTTTCATTCATTTATTCATTTGTCTGTAACTGTTTTGTTAAACTTTTTGTAGTCCTTTGTTTACTTCGTTGTTGCTTAGTAAAATGTTGCAAAATTGATTAGGACTAAATAAATAAATAAACTGCACTTGACCTGTCCAATTAAAAATTGTGAATCTATTTTAAATGCTATAAAAATGTAGTTTAAGAATAATTCTGAAACAATGAGTTATGCACAGTAATGCTATTAATACTAACAAGAAGAATAATTTATACGTTCATGTTTTTATCGTTGTGTGTAAACTATGTCTGAGATAAAAGTTGTAATTTCTTGTTTTTACGTGACGGTGTTTTGCCGTTGAACTCCGGGCTTCGTTGTAATGTTTCGTCACGACTGCTGGGGGCAGTGAGGAGCCGTGTGGCCTGAGGACAGCCAGGATTTAGAGCGCAGAAGAAGAAGTCTGTGTTCCACGTGAGCTGGTCAGCATGGCACCTCCGGGAGGAATAAACAAACCGAAAACTGTAAGAAATCCTGTTTTTCCTTCTGTTAGTCGGTTGGAGCCGAGGGCACATTCAGGAAACAATAACGAGTCAGACAGATGTTAAAGTTTTGTTCACACCCCCCTACAGTTATAGTAATGAATCAGTCCTTTGAGACAGTTTCCTCTCCAGTATTGTCAGTTGCGGGAAGTCGAATATAGCCTTAAAACATTTTGAGGAATTGTTTTAAATGTGTTGGTGCAATCCCTTTGTTAGTGGAGCGCATTGTAACTTCAGGAAACTGGGACACCCTGTGGACGGCAAGTAAACTGCATCGATCGAAACGTCACGAGACAAACAACAGCTACAGCTCTAAGAAGAATAGATTATACAGTAACCGGAAGCAGCAAAGGTGCTCTAATGGCTTAAATTATTATTTTTATGGCTGTTAATTTCTAACATGGCAGATGCACAGCTGCAGGTTTTAAACTTTGAAGTAATCGTTAGTATGTTCAGGTCTTTCTTCCACAGCCTGGTGGAGAAATCCTTTTAAGCCATCAATGGACAGTTACGTTTTCCAAGCGGGTCACGTGAGAAACCGTGTCTGTTGTGGAGCTAAACTCAGTTCTGGTCAATGGTACTTTTCTCTCTTTATAAACTGACGCTGGTGTTACAATCAGTCTGTGAAAACAGTAAAAAGTGCAGTAAAACAACAACAACAACATGTTAAGATTATTTAAGCTAAACTGCCAGAAAAGTGAGCCCTGCTACAGGCTGGCGACTATTCCAGGTGTACCTCACCTCTCACCCTATGGTAGCTGTGATTGGCTCCAGCCCCCCTTCCAACCCCACGACCTGGAATTAGATAAGTGAAAGAATATGGATGAATGAATGCCAGGAATAAAAACAAAAAAACTATATGTGCTGTTGTTACTGTGTTCGTAGTTTGAATACTTCATCTGCAGTTTGCAGTTCTCTCACTGAAAAAAAAGAACTGATCATCTGTTTACGGCTTCATATGCATATTACTTGAGAGTTGTCTGCCATATTAAATGTGATACAACCACAAATCACTTGTGGAAGACTCACTCTACTGTGGCAACCATGTCCAGTGTCTATGATCAAGATCAGCGGTCCCCATTTACAGGAAAATGGAAAGTTTTTAAAACTCTGTTGGTTTCCAGTGTAGCTGCTAACACTTTAAACCTAACTTTGTGGTTTCAGTTTAAATCGGCTGCAAGACACATACTGATTTATTTACCACCTGCTTCAAGATTACATTAAATGCATCAATAACAAACTGTGGCTGTGTCTTGATTACATTGGGTTATGTACATCACTCTCTGCTGCAGATGTTTCATAAACACAACCTGTTGGGTTGTTTCTCTGTAGCTTTTCTTGTGTGATAAAGTGTGACTGAAGTAGATGGAGCTCAGTGAAAAGAAACACTTATTACTATGTCCTCAGAATGTCAACTCCAACTTTCAGAACAAAATATCCCACAGAGCATTTTTCGCCCAGTTCTCATCTACCCCTGATTTAGATTCTAACCGTCAGTTTCAGATCTGCATTGTCTCTGAGTTTAAGTTGTTTGAGTCAGCTAATTCAAAGAAAGCCTGGATATGTTTCAGCTGTTGTTGTTTGTTCCTTCATATCTGATGAGGAGCTCTAAACACTCGAGTGTTTCTGCCTTCCTTGAACGTGTCGTGGTTCTCTTGCAGGAGTTGGGGAAGAAGCTTTTCAAGCGCCGGCGAGTTCTGAGCCGTGAGAAGAGGAAGCGGCATCAGATCGTGGGAGCTGTGGTGGATGAAGGTCTCATCACCATCCATCACCTGAAGAAGAGAAGGTGAGTGTCAGCTGACCCCCTCCTTCCTCCACCTTCTCATGGCCGCAGCGCGTTGTGACATTTTCTGTCCCATCAGGACGAGTCCGAGAGCCAACATCACGCTGTCAGGGAAGAAGAAGAGGAAGCTGATTAAACAGCTGCAACACCAGCAGAAGGAGAAGGCCTCTATGGAAGGTAAAGAGTGCCAAACCTTCTGACTGACTCTCTCCTTAAGTGTTTTCAGCATCTCTCAGGTACTTCAGTCGGTGTTAGTGTGCGGCTCTGGTTTCCAGACCTGTGTGGTCCACTAAGCTTTAGACCTAAACATATGAAAGACCAGTTGGGATTGCTCCGTTTATTACTTTACATTAATTAATCTTATTTTGAATTTGGGCATGGATGAAAATTTACATACGCTCTGGGTGTTTATGGAAAAATTGGAAAAATGTAACCTCCCAAGAACAAAACTCTCATGCAGTCATAAGATAACCTTAACAAATAGGTAAAGCATTTGGGATGCATTGTTTTTATTATTTCCAGTCTTCGTAATTTATCTCTTCTTGGAAAACTGCAGACTGTGGCAATGCAAAATTATGAAAGTTTTGACTTTTCATTGAAACTCAAATGCATATTGTCCACTCTGCCTCAAACGCTTAAAGACATCCACGTGGCAACATTGAACGCTAGTCATAGCGCCACCTAATGGCAGCAAGACGTCAGTTTTAGCTGATTGATATGACATTATCACCAGTGTTGGGAAGGTTACTTTTAAAATGTATTCCACTACAGATTACAGAATACATGCCCCAAAATGTATTTTGTAATGTATTCCGTTACGTTACTCAATGAGAGTAACGTATTCTGAATACTTTGGATTATTTAATATATTATCATGCTTTTTATAACTACATTAATGTACTATTGCTGTGTGATTTATTACTAGTACTGAAGGTTACTCGCCAAACCAATACCAACTACATTTTTAAATCCTAATATAAAATGAGTAACAGTAGGTGGACATTAGGTAAGGCTGCACTTTTTGCAGCGATCTTGTATAGAAAACTATACGGCATCCATCCCACTTTGGATGGAGCAGCTCTCATTTCTAGAAATATGGACAAATTTATTAAACCCCCCAAAATATGACTATCCAGAGTTGGGACCAGGAAGCAGAGTTGCAGTCTTACACGCTTCTCTGCAGCTTCTCTCCTCCTGCTACCCCCCCAAAAACCCATCTCCATAGAGACTGTGTCGGCTCCCAAACAGACAAAAAACAAACTAAAAACCAGCAACAAACAACTTAAACATAAACAATTACAAAGAAAGAACAACAAAGTATCCACATCTGAACCAAAGAGTAAAACAGTGAAATGTGGATTATTAAATATCAGGTCTCTCTCCTCCAAGTCTCTGTTAGTACATGACTTAATAATTGATCAACAAATTGATTTACTCTACCTTACAGAAACCTGGTTGCAGCAGGATGATTATGTTAGTTTAAATGAATCAACACCCCGGAGTCATTCTAACTACCAGAAATCTCGAAGCACAGGCCGAGGGGGCGGTGTGGCAGCAATTTTTCACACCAGCCTATTAATTAATGAAAGACCAAGACAGACTTTTAATTCATTTGAAAGCCTGATGCTTAGCCTCGTCCACCCCAGCTGTAAAACTCAGACACCAGTCTTACTTGTTATCATCTATCGTCCACCTGGGCTTTACACAGAGTTTCTCTCTGATTTCTCAGACTTTATATCTAATTTAGTTCTGAGCTCAGATAAAATAATTATTGTGGGTGATTTTAACATCCATGTAGATGCTAAAAATGACAGCCTCAACCTGGCATTTAATCTGTTATTAGACTCAATTGGCTTCTCTCAAAATGTAAAAGAACCCACCCACCACTTTAATCACACTCTAGATCTTGTTTTAACATATGGCATAGAAACTGAACATTTAACAGTGTTTCCTGCAAACCCTCTCCTGTCTGATCATTTCCTGATAACATTTACATTTACAATAATTGATTACACAGCGGTGGAGAGTAGACTTTATCAAAGTAGATGTCTTTCTGAAAGCACTGTAACTAAGTTTAAGAATATAATCCACCCACTGTTATCATCTTCAATGCCCTGTACCAACATAGAGCAGAGCAGCTATCTGAACGCTACCCCAACAGAGGTCGATTATCTTGTTAATAATTTCACCTCCTCACTACGTATGACTCTGGATACTGTAGCTCCTGTGAAAACTAAGGTCTCTAATCAGAAGTACCGGACTCTGTGGTATAATTCTCAAACACGTACCCTAAAGCAGATAACTCGTAATCTGGAGAGGAAATGGCGTGTCACAAATTTAGAGGATCATCATTTAGCCTGGAGAAATAGTTTGCTGCTTTATAAGAAAGCCCTCCGCAAAGCCAGAACATCTTCCTATTCATCACTGATTGAAGAAAATAAGAACAACCCCAGATTTCTCTTCAGCACTGTAGCCAGGCTGACAAAAAGTCAGAGCTCTTTTGAGCCAACAATCCCTTTAACGTTAACTAGTAATGACTTCATGAACTTCTTCACAAATAAAATCTTTATCATTAGAGAAAAAATTACCAGTAATCATCCCACAGATGTAATATTATCTACAGCTACTCTTAGTACCATTGATGTTAAGTTAGACTCTTTTTCTCTAATTGATCTTTCTGAGTTAACTTCAATAATTACTTCCTCCAAACCATCAACGTGTCTTTTAGACCCCATTCCTACAAAACTGCTCAAAGAAGTCCTGCCATTAATTAATTCTTCGATCTTAAATATAATCAACCTATCTCTAACGATCGGCTATGTACCACAGGCCTTCAAGCTAGCTGTAGTTAAACCTTTACTCAAAAAGCCATCTCTAGACCCAGCAGTCTTAGCTAATTATAGGCCAATCTCCAACCTTCCTTTCATATCAAAAATCCTTGAAAGAGTAGTTGTCAAACAGCTAACAGATCATCTGCAGAGGAATGGTTTATTTGAAGAGTTTCAGTCAGGTTTCAGAGTTCATCACAGCACAGAAACAGCTTTAGTGAAGGTTACAAATGACCTTCTTATGGCCTCTGACAGTGGACTCATCTCTGTGCTTGTCCTGCTAGACCTTAGTGCAGCATTCGATACTGTCGACCATAATATCCTATTAGAGCGATTAGAACATGCTGTAGGTATTACAGGTACTGCACTGCAGTGGTTTGTATCATATCTATCTAATAGACTCCAATTTGTGCATGTAAATGGAGAGTCCTCTTCACACACTGAGGTTAATTATGGAGTTCCACAGGGTTCAGTGCTAGGACCAATTCTGTTTACATTATACATGCTTCCCTCAGGCAGCATCATTAGAAGACATAGCATACATTTTCACTGCTATGCAGATGACACCCAGCTCTATCTGTCCATGAAGCCAGATAACACACACCAATTAGTTAAACTGCAGGAATGTCTTAAAGACATAAAGACCTGGATGGCCACTAACTTTCTGCTTCTTAATTCAGATAAAACTGAGGTTATTGTACTCGGCCCTGAAAAGCCTAGAAATATGGTATCTAACCAGATTCTTACTCTGGATGGCATTACCTTGGCCTCCAGTAACGCTGTGAGGAACCTTGGAGTCATTTTTGACCAGGACATGTCCTTCAATGCACATATTAAACAAATATGTAAGACTGCGTTCTTCCATTTGCGCAACATCTCTAAAATTAGAAATATCCTGTGTCAGAGTGACGCTGAAAAACTAGTTCATGCATTTATTACTTCCAGGCTGGACTACTGTAATTCATTATTATCAGGATGTCCTAAAAACTCGCTGAAAAGCCTTCAGCTAATCCAAAATGCTGCAGCAAGAGTACTGACAGGGACTAGAAAGAGAGAGCATATTTCTCCTGTTTTGGCTTCCCTTCATTGGCTTCCTGTTAAATCCAGAATTGAATTCAAAATCCTGCTCCTCACATACAAGGTCTTAAATAATCAGGCCCCATCTTATCTTAATGACCTTGTAGTACCATATCACCCTATTAGAGCACTTTGCTCTCGCTCTGCAGGCCTACTTGTTGTTCCTAGAGTTTTTAAAAGTAGAATGGGAGGGAGAGCCTTCAGCTTTCAGGCCCCTCTTCTGTAGAACCAGCTTCCAGTTTGGATTTAGGAGACAGACACTATCTCTACTTTTAAGATTAAGCTTAAAACTTTCCTTTTTGCTAAAGCATATAGTTAGGGCTGGACCAGGTGACCCTGAATCCTCCTTTAGTTATGCTGCAATAGACGTAGGCTGCCGGGGGATTCCCATGATGCATTTAGTTTTTCCTTTCCAGTCACCTTTCTCACTCACTATGTATTAACAGACCTCTCTGCATTGAATCATATCTGTTATTAATCTCTGTCTCTCTTCCACAGCATGTCTTTTATCCTGCCTTCCTTCTCTCACCCCAACCGGTTGCAGCAGATGGCCGCCCCTCCCTGAGCCTGGTTCTGCCGGAGGTTTCTTCCTGTTAAAAGGGAGTTTTTCCTTCCCACTGTTGCCAAAGTGCTTGCTCATAGGGGGTCATATGATTGTTGGGTTTTTCTCTGTATCTATGTAGCGCCTTGAGGCGACTTATGTTGTGATTTGGCGCTATATAAATAAAATTGAATTGAATTAAACTTATTGTTTCGGAGGAAAACACGAACACGGTGTACAGTCGAGTCTTAATAGCTTACTTACAACTGGGCTCGTCAGGCACTGTTTTTGGCTGCTGTGGTTATTGTTATATTTACATGCTTCCAGCTCCTGTTTCTGCTTGGTGACAACTCGTACTTTCGATTCTCCTTTTTCTCCCTCCCTCGCGCTCACAGACACATAACGGGTATGACAGTCCATTCTCCCTGCAGCACTACACTGCCCATGAGGCTACATTCTTTAGGGCTATGCCTTTAACACTCTGGCTATCACCTTCATATTAAATAATGTTTTGAATAATAATTACAAAAATATTTCTTCACGTCATTATGCTGGCGGCAAGTAGAGGTGACATGGGCCGTGAGACCCAGGCATTAGAGCCTCTTACTGCGTCTTTTGTTTGGGTCTCCACCGGCATGGAATTACCAAAAATAGAGAGGGCATAGCCTAACAGGTGAAATAGGACTGTACTGCTGTGTAATCCATTTATTTCAACAAAGTAACTGTATTCTGAATACCACCTTTTTAAATGGTAACTGTAACAGAATACAGTTACTCATATTTTGTATTTTAAGTACATAATGCCGGTACATGTATTATGTTACTCCCCAACACTGATTATCACTGTGTGTTCTACACGTTACATACTGACACAGATGATTAGAGAGTGAAGGTTGTTTTTTTTTTGGGGGGGGGGGGGGTTTAACACCACATAGTGGACACAGGAAATGATGCATTTGTCCATCATCCAGTTAGATTCCACATGTTCTGCATCAAAGCTGACTGATCATCAGCTGCATTTTGTGTTGTTTTTCAACTTCTGGTGTTTTATTGATACTTTTTTATGACACTAAAATAAAATTGCTCATCATTCGTCTCTCTGTAGTGGAATCAACAGCAGCACCACAGAAGAAGCACAACACCTCATCAGCTCAGACCAAGAAGAAGAACAAGAAGGCGTCCGGATGCCAGGACGATGTAGAGATGGTGGATGTTGAATGAAGATATGTCTGCACTATGAGTCCCTGCTCAGACGTCCATGCCGGCGCCTCAACTTTGAGACTAATGGACAATAAGGACGTCCGTCCTGTAGTTTGTTTCTGCAGAAGAAAAAACTACAACAGTTGACATGGAAGCCCCTTTCTGCCAAAAATGTTCCCCCTCAAATATTAATTGAGCTGCTTTTATTTTAGTTGTAAATAAATCTGAATTTGTTTGAGGCTCACACTGTTTTATTTTTATTTGATCTTTTGCAGATTCTTAACCAAAACAGCTTTAATCAATCATTTAAACAAAAAACTTGAGGTTATTCTAAGTTAAATTAGTATGTTAGTGAAAAGACCAAATGTCTTTCTATGGTGTAAAAGTTTTGTGAGAATTAAAAATGTAACTTCACTGGCAAAAATATGAAAAAATATGATATTGTTTTAAATTTACTGTCTGAAGATATTTTTGTAATTTTTGACTAACCAAAGGCATTTTACACTTTCATTTTGTTATTTGGCAGAAATGGGTTTCCATATATGATTGGGTTTTTATTTTATATCTCTGTTAGCGTCGCAGCACCTGCAGAGTTTGAGGGCAACATTTGGACCTGTGGTTGTTACAGCATTCATCTTGTAAGCTTGTTTAATTAAATGGGTCATGAGCTTTGACCTTTAACCTTCTGTTCCACCTAGTTCATTAAAATTTTATACATCATCAGAAGTTTCTATTCATTATTTAGATTATATAATAATTCAGATTTTTTTTTAACCTTTCTTAGTTGTTGGTTCATAAATATTTGACTTATTATTTTCCTGACACAGTTTGGTAAACATTTGTGCTTGATGGGAACATCCAGGTTCAAATGTAAACTGCACATTAAAACTCATTTTGGCTCTTCAGCAGTTTATGTTGAAAGAAAATTTTGTTACAGTTTAACACAAACTATGTTCATTTTTGACACGTTATTCAAATAAAGACCTGATAAATCCTTGTTTAATTTTTGCTGACTTCTGTTTTTTTATTGGGAAATAACATCATAGGTTTCCATGCTTAAAGGTATTGTGCTTTGTTTTGTTTTTTTACGTATGTCACTATTTGTTTTCTGACATACTTTGATGAGCTTCCATATGTCAAGTCATGTTTTAATAAGTTTTTCTAGGTGGTTAATTCGGGTTTATTTTAAGAAATATTTTCTCTCATGAGTTCTATGAACTGTGTATAAAAATATATACAATTAAATGTTTTCAGAATTAATGAGCCTCCATAGTTCTGATATACTTTATTTATTTATTTATTGGAGAGTTGTTTATAAACGTTTTGTCTTTTTGACCTTTTAGTAAGTCCAAACATTTAGTCCAGTTAATTCTAGATGTTTGTGTTCATCATTGCGATTCAATTATTATCAAAGGGCTTTAATGGGTTTCCAAACTTATTAAAAATTAAATAATATTGTTTTAAATATTAATATGTCCCCATATTCTTAAGAAAGATAGATAGATAATAAAATGTTTTCAGAAAGCTCCAGGGAGTTCTCATTATTTGTTTTTACTTATAGGGCTGTATTGCGCTTCCATTTAAGTCCATTCATCCATCCATTGTGTACCCCACCCCATAACAGCTGTAACTGGCACTAGCCCTCCACAACCAGGTTTTTTTTTTTCTTTTATCTAATTTTTTTATTTTTGATCTTTAATCTACTTCCATGATTTTGATATTAGGTTCAGTTTTGTTTTACGTTTTCATTTTATTTGAAGGCTTCAAATAAGCTTACATTATCTATTTTTATTTACTATTTATACATCCCATTAGTTGTATTTTTTTCAGGGGGGTATATTGGGCTTCCGTATGTTTCAAAATTTGTTGTCCAGATTTTGACTTACTGCAATTGTTTTATTTATTATTTAAGTTCTAATGTCTTTATGGGCTTCCATAAATTCAGTCGAATTTACACCTATGTTTTTTTTGTAATGTTTTAGAGGCGTTAATGGTCTTCCATACATGTTGGAGGTTTTATAAACTATTGATCCGCTTCACGCTGGCATCCTTTCTCTCAGATGTTTTGTTCATGATCAGATTTAATTATTGATGAGGCTCCGTATGGAGCTCTTATATAAACTGTGTCTTTATTGAAACATCTGAAGCTCTTTGTGTCCGGTTTCTCCGGCTGTTTCTCTGATATTTTTCCGGCTTTTTGGAAGAACATCAGACGGCAGTGAGCCTCAGATTGGGGATGCAGGCTCCTTCCCTCCCCCTACCAGAGGACAAAGACTAAAATGGGTCAGACTCAGGAGACAAGCAGCAGATCCTCCGCACCAGCCATCATGTAACGTCCTCCATCCTCTGCAGGCGGAGAACAGCCGGGTTCGTTATTAAGACAACAGAAACGCGTCCTCTGCCTTCTTTTTGTTTGAGCATCATGTCCTGTCGGGACGGCTGAGGCTTCTTACTGGAACTAAGCTGGTTTGAACAAACACCGACTCATCACATCACATCGCACTGACCGCCGGAGGGACGATGGAGGCGGCGCCGAGGTAATCTGTGTCCCCGCTGACCGCTCAGGTAACAAAACGCATTTCGGCCGCTTCGTGTCCCAATTAGGCTCCATTACCGCACCAGTAAAACCAGTACAGGGCAGGTTTGAAGGGCAGGTGCTGTGTGCAGCAACACATTAGCTTCGTGCTAAGACTCCAGCTTATAGATGCGGTCATGTGTGCAGCGCATTTCATTTATTACACACTTTATTACAGATTTTTGGCCTTGAGCTCAGGCTCAGCCCGGGCAGGTGCTCTCAAGTTCTTATTATCCAAAAGGAGCTGAGAGAACAACAGCTGCAGTTCTTCTGACGTCCAGCAGGGGCTCCACAGAGTCAGTCCCCATAGACTCCCATGTTATAAATTGACGTTTATTTCCTCTCTTAATAACAGCTGGGATATCTGTGTGACGTCATCCTGTGTTCTGCTGTTGATGTGATGTATGGATGGAGTCAGTGCCTCAATCATAGATTTTATATAAAAGATGGAATAGCTGCTGGAGCTTGAGCTTTTTCACTGTCGCAGTTTTTGGCTCATGGGCTAATGACTTGTGATTGGCAAGTCTGATTCTAATAACAGGCAAAATTTACAAAAAGATCTTTGAGTTTTATTTAGTTAAACTTGAAACTATAGTCTGAAATCAGAAAAGTATCACAGAAGTCACAGTTTTGGCTTTTTATACTGTTAATAAGGTTCAGGTTTTAGATCTCTAAAATTGGACTTTTTTATTTATTCATTTTTCAGGTAGCAACTTTTAGCCATGCAGGTAATTTACACTTAGCCCTAAACTCACTTATTTAAACTCTGTTGAAGTTTAATGTCAGACTAAAGTTTATTACAGTGAACTAAGACTAAGAAGACATTAGTTAAAAATTAAAACTACTTCTTCTCCTTTTACTTTTTTTAATGCCCGAACAGCCCCTGAGTTGTCATGTTGTCAGAGTCATGAAACCGGCTCTGTGAGGTTATTACATCACTATTCTGCTTTTACATCAATGATGCATTTTGTTAAGCTCTGTGCTAGTTTTAGTTGATTACAGCCTTATTGTACACTATAAGCATAGTGAGTTATTTTCCTGATTTAGTGGTAAGATAACTCGACAGGTTGTGAAATTGTTGTTGATTTCTTTAGGCTTTTATGTGGACATGATAGTATGTGAGGAGGCTGTATATGACATGGAAGAATAAACCCCATGACATTCTTATGTTTTTAATTAACTTTGTTGCAGATTTTACGAAATTAAAGACTAAATTAAAAAACATAAAATATATAGAGATTAAACTCACCTCTAACTCTGGTTTGTTAGAATTTCTCTTTCAAAAAAAAAAAAAAAACTAATAAAATGATCACCATGACAGTCCTCCCAGATGTTACAGGAAAGGTTCATCCAAGCACCCATTAAAACGAGGACTAGCGAGATTATATACCACGTTCTGATGTGGATTTCTAAAAAGATGAAGTCATATTTGGAGTTAGTGAAGTCGAGTTAGTTGACATATAATGATGTGCTGCCTGGTGGCTACTTACAGACTCATGGTTAAGCTAGTATAACACATTAGCACAGGGAAGATGGAGAATGAGGGTTAAACTGCTGTGAGTAAAAGTTCATGCTGAGGGTTCCTGTTGAGTAGAGGACGATGCTGACATAAAAACAGGGTCATCATGTTGTCGTGAATAAGGAGCACTAATCTGTCTGATAGTGGCTCAGATAACAGCAGCTGTAAAGCTGATAGGAGAGCAGCCGTAGCAGAAAAACAGGCTAAAGTCCTGCTCTGTGGACTGTGGACCCACAGAGCTGCTGAGCATCTAAAGGAGGACTGTTCACACGGTCGGTGAGTTTCTGCTCTTAATTATTAAATACTCAAAACTCTTTATACAAACTAACATGTTAAGTAGGCTGTACATGGAAACAAGGTCCTCTTCATCTTCTGTACTTGTGCAATGGGAGCTGGATTTATTCCACCAAATCCAAACGATGATCTTTCAACTATATTTAAATTTTTGAGGACGTGGATGAGATCACAGTAAAGCAAATGTGGTAAAAAAGATGAGTGTAAATTTTGCTTATGTAGCCAAAAACACTGCGTTTTTAATGTGCTTAGCAGACACACCACAGAGAAGCATCCCAGCAGCAGCCTAAAGTCACGCCAGGTGTACTTTTTAATAGGCTCTGCATCAGGCTGCACGGAGCAGAAGTGGGCAGGAAGTGACAAACAGGAACTACAAAGTGAATTTGATGTGTTTTAGAAATAAATGCCCGCTTGCACATGACAAAAGTCAGTTGGAGACTCAATGCGAAAATGTGCACCTGGTTTACTTCCAGGATTCTCCACGAGACGCCTCAGGATGCTACAGGAAAAGTGCACACAGTATCATACTGTATAGAGTCTAATTCTAAACCTCCTCACCTGTAATGATCTTTCACATGAACATCAAGGCAGTTTGAAACAGAGGTTGAGGTTGGAGTGCACAGTGTAAGTGGTAATGGACGTGTTCTCAGAATCTTTCGATTACACCCCCCGTGAGTAAACGTGATAATCAGGATGTAGAACACTTTGTGACGTGAGATTAATGTTTACCTCATCACAGATAACACCTGAGTTAATAAGAGCTGTAAGGAGTAATATGTAATCACAGTCCTCTTTTCTACCATCTTAGCAGTATAGAAAAACTTAAATATGGTGAAATCCACCTTTAAGGGGCTTCTGATGTCCTCATCAGTCTAATCAGGGGCTCTCTAAGTTTTGATGACTTCATCGATTCGTAGATCTTTTGATTCTCTTGTGCAATATTATTTTTAAAAAGTGCTGCTAACATTTTTAGTGCTATGCAGCTGACACCCAGCTGTATTTAACCATGAAACAAATCAGCTAGTTAAATTACAGGCATGACTTAAAGGCCTGGATGACAAAACTGAGGTTATGGTACTCGACTCTATCTTTAAAAAAATGGTGTCTAACTAGATGTTTACTCTGGATGGAGTCCAGCAACACTGTCAGGAACCTCTGAGCCATTCTTAATCAAGACATATAGGACTGCTGTGTGGACATAAATTTTCTTTTTTTCTTTTTTTTGTGGGGGGGGGGGGGGGGGGGGGGGGGTAGCTTTTATTGCAGTAAAACAATGGCGAAAAGACAGGAACGCTACGACAACTACAAGACATGCAGCAAAAAGCCTTGGGGCACATTTAAACCCAGGTCTTTGCATTAGCCCCACAGGACATAGATCACCTGCTCTACCCAGTGAGCTAAACCATCGCTCACACTGGTCTGGTTAAACATTAACTGTAGATGAATGTGACATACAGTATTGGATGCAGGATGCACTTTAAAACCACTCATTGGAGATGGATCGGTTATACCCTTAAAGAATGTGATGCGGTGCGACAGGTGCATTTTATATTTGACCTGTTCTGTAAGCATCCACCTTTGAAATACACAGCTGAATGAACCTGAGCTACAACCATGTGGTGACTTGAAATAGCCTTATGAACATGTACCATTGCTGGAACAGGAAATATATATGCAGGATGTCAGGTGAAGCAGAATGGGCCCTCTTTAAGGATCTATGTCAGATTTTCAGTCACAACAATTTATGTAAAAGATTTTTGCACTTCTGTCTGTAAGCGTCAACCACTGGAGTGGAAAAATGAAACACTGAAAACATGATTCCTCTAATGCAGCGGTCCCCAACCTTTTTTGCGCCACGGACCGGTTTATGCCCGACAATATTTTCATGGACCGGCCTTTAGGTGTCGCGGATAAATACAACAGAATAAAACTAGTACTGGTACCGAAAAAAAGAAAATTTATTCATAACACAAATGAAAAGACCCAGGAAAACCGAGTAAACGATAAAAACGATAACAAAATAATGCTGAAAACCGATAAAAACCCTGAAAACTATACATTTCACACCTGAGCCTCAACTCTCACGGACCGGTACGGACCGAGGCCCGGGGGTTGGGGACCGCTGCTCTAATGTTTAGCTCAGGCCCCAACAGTGCGTCAATCCCCAAAGACTCTCATATTAAATGTACAGCCTGCTGTGGTCTCTGTAGGTTTAAAGTTTCCATTATTAGAGGTGTGGCCTCTTTTCCTTTTCCTTAATTTTGATGCAGCGCTGGAATAGCTTTAGATTAGCGGTCTGAATGCTTCTTCCACCACATTTTTCTCTCTGATTCAAACATCTTTCTGACCTCGTTCAGTAGTAATCTAAAAAAAGAAGCTGCCCCGCCACCTCCTTCAGGAACAGCTTCCATTTTTAGGTTTCTATTTTCTCTCCACAGATCTAATTTTGCTCTCTTTGTGGTCCAAGACAGATCTGGGACTCTGAGACATCCTGACAAGGGTTTGAAGTCTCAGACAAAGTCCAAGAAAGACTTAATAAGATGTACTAAAAGGTTTGACTTAAAACAATGGTTCCAAAAAAATCCACCTGACGTTTCCTGCCCTTTTTTCTCGTTCAGTGTCATCTTGCCTCTGTTGTTCTGAGTGTTTGCTGTGAAACACTTAAAGTGATAATATCATTGATTAAACTTTAATAACAGTGGGTTTGTGCTCTGCAGTTCATCTCTGTGGATTTCTGCTGTCCTGCTCTGCACACCGAGGCCTTTCTGATCTGAGTACGCCCACTGCAGCCATGACCCCTCCCACCTCTGAACGACCCTTGGGGACGCTCATGCTGTTCGTTTACGCTGCTTTCACATTCATAGTGATGATATCACTTCCCGTGTCAGCACTGGAACCGGAGACGTGTTTCTCCAGGCAGCACCAGAGCGCCATAGTCGACGTCAGGCTGTCGCTAAACAGACCGACAACAGCCATGGATGCCCGGGTGGTCCACTCTGAGCGGGATTGCGTCCTCGCCTGCTGCTCAGAGGAAGTCAAACCAGGTGAGCAGAGTGAATGGGGAACATGGGGGTCAAAGGTTATGTTTTTTAAAGATATGTTTAAAAAAAACTGTGTCTGAACCATGAAGCATGAAGCATGTAGCTAAAGTAAAAGCACTCATTAGTCTATCCATAATATTATTGGATAATACTAATCCAGTTAAAGCTTTAAAATAAATGGTATGGAGTATAAAGTAATGTACTGGCATCTAAAGTCTGGTTGAAGTGGAAGCAGCATAAAATAGAAATACTGTACTTCAGTAAGAAGTACAGCTTTAAAAAGCATTACTTAAGGAAATTTACAAAAGCCAGCAGCGTCTGTAGGGACCAATTATAAATGGTGGGCTGGTGCCACCCTATGCTCATTCCATCCATTTACACCCCTGCAAAATCATCACCAGGATCTATAGAAACAACAGCAATGACTGTATGTCCAAGATACCTTTGTATAGTGCTCAGGAAAGCCTGAGAACTGAGGTCACGCTGGCCCTGGTGGTGAAAGTTTTGGGTAATTTGTGCAGATTGTAAATTTAAATATTTACCTTCAAAACCAGACATAAGAAAAATCAAAGCTTCATTAAAGGGGAGCTGCTCTTCTTGTTTCGTCATGTATACCTAATTTAGTCAGAGAAAGTATAACCCAGGTTACTGGCTTTGACGGCCACATGTAACCATCTAAAGACTATATCTGGTTTTTGGTCAGTGTTTTTTTTTTTCCTGTAACCATCGCTACCGTGGGATATATCACAGTTTCTCTATAGTAGGCTCATCAGTCTCAAAGGTCACAGCAGACCACTATAAGCCAAAAACTGTGACTCAAAAAAGTGAAAGGAAAAAACTAACTTTGTGTTTCTGAAGGTGCTAAATGCAACATGGTGGTTTTCAACGGGAACAAACACGCTGGTGATGAGAACTGCTTCCTGTTCCACTGTCAGATGGAGCAGGACTGTCCTTTAACGAAGGCTCAGGAGGGCATCAACACCTATGACATCTACAAAGGTACGTCAGATACTCATTGTAAACACAGAAAATGACTTTAATAATGATGATTAAATGCATGATGAACAAAGACATGAGTGACCCAGCTTTGCATACATTCAGCTTCGGATTCTTGAAGATTTTTAATAAGTAAATTTAAGCCAAAACTAGAAGTATTATTGATTAGTTTAGAAAATAGTTTTCATTTTTCACCGTAGGATCTTCACTTCATTATTATTAAAAAACAAAAGCAAAATTAATGATAATGATATTATGTTGATACCTGTGGAAGATCAGTCACGTTCATCAATTACCCTCCCCACACACATTTTTGGCTGTGCGTTCTGTGTGGAGTTTGTATGGGTTTTCTCCAGGGCTTCCTCCCACAGTCCAAAGACATGCAATTAGTGGGGTTAGGTTAATCGGTGATTCTAAATCCGGTCTTTAAGTGATGTTGTGATGAATCCTGCTTCCGGGTCCAAACTACTCTGCGTTTAATAAGGCTGTTGTGTTTTTAACGTTTTAATTAGTGCTGTCAGCGTTAATCTTGTTAAAATGACGTTAACGCCATAACCCCATTAACGCAGCAAATCTCTGTTAGCGAGTTAACGCGGATCGTCCCGTGTGTGGGGCTGCACGGCGACAACGCATTAACACGTTTAGCTCGTTAACGTGTTAGTGCCATGCAACCCCACGCACGGGGCGATCCGTGCTAACTTGCTAACAGAGATTTGCTGCGTTAATGCGGTTATGGCGTTAGAGTCATTTTAACGAGATTAATGCTGTCAGCACTAGTTTTAATGCTTTCATCTTGTTCTATATAATCCCAAAAAAGCCCCTAAAAACAGTCAGTGATCACTGTCAGCCTCTCAATTTTTATTACTGCTATTAATTTTAAAGCACAGTTTTTAAAACCTTGCGATGTAACTACAACCCAGTCAATGCAGCAGTATATTAATTACTAACCGCGTATTGTGGATGGATTATCTCAGTTGTTCTCCTGACTGAAGTTTGGTCCATTTACAGAATCCTGCCATGCGATTGCATTTATCCCTAACCATCGGGAACCCTCACGTTACCTTTTATTGAGTGGAAAAAAGTTAGTGTTCGTCCTCCAGCGTCAATGATTATATTATGCTAATATAGCTGTGTCGCTAGCGATCACCTAGTACATCATTATATACCAGCTAGTCAAGCTTCAGTAACCCAACAAAACATCCCTGCTGTTTACTTTCCTGTGATAGTAAAGGTGATAACAGAGCTGTACGTCTTAATTTGTTTTCAAAAATATCTCAGTCAGAACATGGTATATTCTATTTAGATGCTAACTCACTGCTAACTTCTAACTCCATTAAATTTCATAAATTCTATTTTCATGAATGCCTGGATGTTAAACTTAATTGTTACCCCTAGTAGAGCAGTAATGTTGATCATTTTATTACAGATGAAAGAATTTAGACAGTTTTTCAACTCTCAGTAATGCCGCAGTGATCGTTAGTCTTAGGGACCTGCAGCGTAGTTTGGGCCCAGACATAGCTAATGACGGCAGACTTAAAGACTTTAGGTGCAAATGTGATCACGACTGGTTGACTGTCTCTTCGTGTTAGCCCTTTGCATGTCTGGGATAGGCTCCAGACCCTGCCCCTGCAACCCTGAACTAGATAAGTGGAAGGGAATGGATGAATAATTAAACTCAAAATACAACTACATAGAGGTCCATAACCATAACATTAGCAAATAATATACAATGTTATCATATATGTGCATTATTGATGTCCTATTTTCAAATATCATGGTTATCATAAATATCTTCACCTGTATATAAAAGAATAATAATTTTAAATATTAATGTGTCAAATTTCCTGTATCATGAAAGATAATTAACAAGCACCTGAACAAACATTTTAAATGATGGGGTATATTTTATGTCATGGAGTTTTTTCCCCAGAGAGTTAACAGACAGTATGGTTCTTTCACAGAAGGCATGTAGTTAAGGCTCCAGTGAGATTTGAACTCACGACCCCTGGTTTACAAGACCAGTGCTCTAACCCCTGAGCTATGGAGCCCTATATGTCAGTGTGAGACACACCTGTAATATGTGACATACCACTAAACCCAAACCGTTCATGAATGGTTGTTACCAAATTGGATCAAATGTCAGTATAATTGTTTTTTAGCCTTCTAAAACTCACTTTTTCTTGTTTGTGTTGAATTTTGGATGATTGTGGATTTTTGCTGCCCCCTGCTGACCAAACAATTCTATACAAATCTTTAAGTTTATGTCTTTGTGTTTTCTTTCCTGCACAGGTTTACTTCATCCAACCACTGTGAGACCTCCCACCACTACCACCATCACAACCACCACCACACTGGCACCAACTACGCCAACAGCTGCACAACCAACAACCCCAAAAAGTATAACAACAACAATGCCACCAACCACTATCACAATGACAACAACCACTACCACAACACAACCGACAACCACTACCTTACCATCAACCACAACCTCAACCCCTACCTCCACCTCCACCCCCACCCCCACACCTCCACCCATCATCATAATTGCCACAATGGCAGCAGTGACCTCATCACCCACCACTGCAAAAGCATCACCTCTTTCCACCACCTCCATAAAAAAGCCTAACAAAACCACCAAAAAGCAAACTAAAACCTCCAGGAAAGGAAAAATTCATCCTATCAGCATCACCACCACCCAGCCAACTCATACTTCAACTCCCACCACAACCCCAAACACCACCCACACCACCACTCCAACCACCTCACTTCCTGTTGTAACAATGAACAAGGAGGCCAAATACAGAACTACCGAAAAACTTCAGCCAAACACTGAAACCACCACGACCACGACTACAACACTTCCAACCACCACAACACCTCTAACCACCACACTTTCAACTACCACAACTACCACAACAACCACAACCACACCTCCAACCACCACCACTACTATTCCGTCAACTACCACCACAAACCCCCCTACTCCTCCTTCAACAACCACTACCACAACAACAACTACCACCACCACCACCACTGAGGCGCCCACCACCAGGACAACGCCCGCGGCGACTCTTTTAATTGTCCCCAAAGGTGCTGTTCAGTCTGACCACATCCTCCAGAATTCAAGTGCTGCCAGAGGCAAAGGGATAGCAGCACATGGAGCAATGAAAAGCGGCATGGTGGCATTTGTGGTGCTGGTGCTTGCCATCCTCACAATGGCCCTCGCCATTGGAGGCCGCAAAGCAATGGAGTCTTTCGACAGACGCCACTACACGAGACTGGAACTCAATGATCTGCACTACGAGGTGTGACAAGGAAAACGTTACAAGGACGGAAGCCCAGAGGGGCAGTGAGATTTATTGAATTTATTCAATTAGTTTAATAGCACAAAGTTACATAATAATGGCGCACCTACATCACCTCCTGAAAGGTTTGTCATACTGTGGAGAACACTGGATTGTGATTGGCCGGAGAGTACACATAATATTTAGTTTCTTTGCATTTAAAACAGCTGTCACTTTTTGATCTTCTAAAAAATAGCGCACTGCTTTGCTAGCAACATTTTTTTCTGTTGTTTTTAACACCCAAACCACCAATGTTATGTAAAAGATAGACACAGATATTGATATTACCTGTTGGTTTGTGACCATTGCCATGTTGCTATTTTAAAACTGGAGGCAAGCTGAAAGAGAAACCAAGGGGTGCTGTGTGTTCATACTTTAGTAACTTTTTTCTAAGTAGAGAAATTATGGCCTCCATGCTGTTTCAGCTAGCACTATCTAAAACTCATGAGTGCCATTTCAATTAACATCTGAAAACAAAATTTCCTGCATATGTTTGGGTTTTGACAGAGATCATTTTAAAAAAGATTGGTCATAAGACCAATTTTGAGGAAAGAAAAACCCTGTAAAAGCTAAGCTAAGCTGGCTTAGCTAGCTGAACTTTATGTTTATAACAATAGTGAACAAACTCCGCCCATTCCAGATTTTCTAACAAAGAAGTCATTCAACAAACTCACCAGTCACATGATTTTTAAAGTCTTCACTGTTGATTATTTCAGCTTTATTCACCTTAAGTGACCATGTCCATCTTTTATATACAGTCAGTAGGTAAAGTACAAAGATGACAACCTCATTCCATTTCAGACTCCGCCTCCTTAAACTCATCACAGACCAATCATGGACTTCATACCTTAATTTTTCTGTTATTGGTGTTAACAAAAGAAAAAGATGGTAGACTTATATTGAAAAGTTCTCACAATGAAGACAAAATATCTCTTAATTTAAAAACTATTCTTAGAATTTATTTGAGGTGTTTTTGTTTTGTGAAAAAAAAATCAAACTTTGAGATATTTTTTGGGCTTTTATGTTTTTAGATTATTTGACTTCTCATGAGACAAATTCCTCAGTTGTTACTTGATCTTTTTAAGTCTTGTGCAACAAGTGATAGTGCAACTTTGAAGCAGCCTTCAGACTTTAGGCGGTAACACTGCCCTTCTGCGGCCTCTCAGATCACATAGTGAACTCAGAGTTCTGCTGGGAAGCTCATTGGTCCAAAACTTCAGCTGACGATGGAACAAAGAACAAACAGCAATATTTTTACTCGTAGAAACTCAGGAAGCTTCTGAAGTGGACTGGCGAGAAGAAACTCTATACAAGCGGACTCTGATTCAGATTCTGGCCTTCTTCTGATTCGCCGTGGGGTCGCGGGGCCCTTTGTGTATACACCTGCATGTCTTCTTCCTCCCACACGCTTCAGCCATACGAGCCTGTGATTGCTTCTTAAATCACCTGACCGGTGTAGATGTCAGACTCACTCTCTCACTGTGGTGTTTTTGTATTTTGTATTTCACATGTGGATAAATATTCAAACGATGGATGCAATCCTTTGAAAATCGATGCACTATTGTATCCTGTTTTTTTGTTTTTTTTTAATGACTATGATCTGCTGATTTTTTTTCATAAGTAAGAGGACACTTGCTGCGCACTATTTTCCTATAATGACGTTTGTATTGTACTGGATGTGCAGAAACGAGACTGCTATAGCGTCACTTCACCACCAGGTGGCAGCAGCAGCAGTCCGATAAACTGAAGCTGCACCAATAAGGCGTTTTCACTGATACTGCTCTGATTTTTACTTTGATTGTCTAATTAATAATTACATGGATGGTAATAGTTTGGTCTTGTTTTGTGAAGTGATGCTTTTGCATAAGTTTGAACTTTGATGTTTCGTTCTTGTAAGGATTAAAAAACTGTTGATTTTTGAAAAGTATCTGAGTCTGCAGATTTATTTTTGCTTGAGTGTGTTTGATTTTAAATAGAACCACTGTGATTTTTTATCGTCTGGGTGATCTACCAACAAATAATCAAAATTAATCTTGTAAAGTTGTTCCAAATTAAATAAAATTTCACATTTATCACAGCATCACATTTATTACTGTTCTGTATTAACCAAACTGGGAGCAGGTTCATTACAGCAACAAAAATAATCAGCCTGAGTCTGAGAAAAGTTTCCACCTGACCCATCTGTTTTTTAAATCTACAAAAACTTAAATATATGTCATGGAGCCATGCATGCTTCTACCTTCATATAATGTGTATTTTCAGAGTAACTTGCTGTCACAGTTAAGATTTATCTAACTTGTATTATAAGTTTTTGAGTATTTTTACTTCTTTCAGGGCTGAAAAAAACCCCACATTTCATCTCTGTTAAAAACTGCAAACAAACTCCCAAAGGTCTCAGCCTTATGTTAGTGCAGATTTCTCATAAACTTGAGTTTTTGGTCAATGCTGTTCTTGATCAAGCTTCTTTTCTATCATGTCCAGCTGAGCTCCAACTTTGGACAAATTCTTGGTGCAGGTTAAACAGTTGAGAATTGTTTGAGAATTCCTCAAAATTTCAAGTTTTTATATTTTCACTTTTCCAGATATATTTATGTATGCTGCACAAAAATTATTTTGAAGAAGGTTAAATGTTTTTTTATGATTTAGTGAAGAACAGTCATAAGCATTTCACAAGTTTCAAAGACTTTTATTGGCCATAAATATGGCACAGGGCTAATATGTATGCAAAAAGTTAGCGTTTACAGGGTCGACCCTTCTGTCTGTCAGTTTCTGGGCCCAAGATGGTGATCCTCCTGCTTTATCACGGTTCCAAGATTATCACTATTCGACTCAAAAACTAGCATAAAAAAATCCTCAGACTGATGATCTTCCAGGATGTCTTTTGTCTTGTGTCGCAAGATAAAAGTGGTAACTAAGAGGCTTCGAGATCATCAAATAAACATTTTGGATCCTTGGCCAGGAAGCTTCCCAAACTTCACATCAAGAATCTTTGCTTAGCACTGTAATATTTACTATAGTGGACTTAAATCATATATTATACTGACTCTCCTGTAAGTGTTTGAAACTGGATTTCTTACCATTGTTCTTCACTAGATCACAAACACGTACAAAAAAAGCTAGATAAAAACTGAAACAGCAAAATGTATATAAAACACTAAATATGTGGCACTGCGAAAAACCTTTGGTCATGACTGCATAAAAATAAACTTTAATACTCTAATGTGTTTCTGCTTGTGGCCTTCATTGGGGCCATCATAAATATAACAAACATCATATACATCTAACCAGAAGCATACTTACCTTATTACCCTTTGAAATGTTGCCTGTAATGTGTTTTATGATGACCCTGATGAAGTCCACAACCTCAACATTTGTAGTAAAGCTGTTTATTATGCAACAGGTGCTTCAGAGCTGCTGTCAACAGCGCTTGGCAGAAAGTGATCATCTGCTCAGTTTCAGGAATGATTTTGACTCCTAAAGAATCGTGGCTAAAAGATGAGCCTGGCATCAAATGTAGATAAAAAAAGAGACCTTTGCTCTGACTTCAGGGAGCAGCCACTGATCACACATGCTGACGTGAGTCTTGAAAGTTTACCCAGAATGCACTTTTAAAGTTTTATTCAGTGAATTATCATTAAACAGATCAAACATCCATGGTTTCAAATTTTGTTCCTGTTGCTCTGAATCTAGATAATAACAATAAATTGGTGCAGTTTATTCAAGTAATGATTTATCTCATGATACTGAAGCTCAAATGATTCAAGTTTTTAACAGAGCTTAAATGAGTTTTTCAGCACTTGAAATTTCATTTGGATATTCGCCATACTTACAAAAGTATCATCAAGTCTAAACCCAATCCTATGAACTCAGTCACTGATCAAATAGTGTGATGTATATTGTGGTTGAACTCATGACAGGCACATGATCAGGTATGTGGTAGTTAATGTGCTAACAAGTTACCTCATATTCCTGAGACTGTGAGGCAGTTTTGCTGACCTGGTGATTAAACCCTGAAATTTTTTAAATGAGATGCTTTCCTTTCCTCTTAGCAGGACATTTGAGTCCCGTCCACCTTGCTTGTAATTTTACAGTCCTGCTTTCACTTCCACATCTCCCACAGATACATTCATTAGATAAGACGAGAGTGATCCACACTTTATTAAATCAGCAAGAGGTTTTAGAAAAGCTGTTACTCTGAAATAGGAAGTGTACTCTGTAATCCGAGGCCTCACATCCTCATTGAACTTTCTCCTTCTGAAAGCTTTTGAGAAATCTTGCATTTTCTGATGTTTGAAACCTGAAACTGGGGCTGATGTTTCATGAATAAAATCTCAATAATAATAATGATAATAATGATAAAGCAATAATAATATTGTAAAAAGTTATTATCAACAGAACACTGAGATGTAAAAATTATAAATCCCAGAGTAATTTTCTTGTTTATATGCTACTGCTGCTACTTTCATGAAATTAATAAAATTCAAAGTTGCTTTTGGGGCGACCACAGGTTATCTGCCTCCATCTTGGCCTATCCCTATCATTTTTCTCCATCACCTCTTCATGTACTTCATTCTGCCTGGCAGCTCCATGTCTATCCACTGTTTCTTGTCTGCTGTTGCCCATCTCAACCTTGCATCTCTAAGGCATAAAACATTAAAATGCAAATCAAAAATAGAAAAATGCAACATGTAAACTTTATAGGGTGTGAAGAAACTGAGAAAACCTGAAATCAGATGCTATAGGTAAAAAGTGTAAAATTCCAAAATTTAGAAAGAAAATTTAGAATCAAAAGTGCTGTAAAATCTATCACATTATGTAGGTTTATTTACAATATCAGATTTCACACTTTTTAATAATCCACATAATGGTTTTTTTGTGTGAAAATCAAATAAAAGTGTCAGATTCATCTATATCTGTGATTATGGTGGGTTTCTGGTGAAAATGTGTTTCTTCTGATGTTTTATGGC